TATTACTATTATTATTATTATTCTAGAAACATAAATTAGTTTATGTTTTCCCCAAATAACTTGTTTCTCCAACAGCTATCTTTCCCTCTTACCCCTTCCACCTGGCAGCCTGCCTGGCAATCTGCCACCCTGCTCAGCATTAATTGCTCCCCACCCCCACCCCCACTTTTCCCACGATACCTGATTGTCTTCAGGCACAGAAAATATTGTTGGAACTGCAGTTTGTTTCAAATATCGAATACCCCATCTGATGTCAAGTGAGTCAGGAGTAAAATGGTCACTACACAGGAACTGGTATTTACTGGGAACCCATGAATCTCGTTTCATATTCTTTAGCCATTTTTCAAGCCGTTCTTTGTCATGCAAAGGAAACCTGAAATAAAGAGAAAAAAGGGAAAGTTTTGCTATATTTTTACAGTCTGGCCAGAATCCAGACTTATGTATTGTGGTCACTTGTGCTAGTACTACAAAAGCAAGGCCACCCCGACTACTACAGCAGATAGTCTTCATGGTAACTATCTGCGCAGTCAGAGGACTAAGATCAAATACGTATTCCCACCCTCGGAAACCCTGTACAGGGTCGCTATGGGTCGGAACCGACTCGACGGCACTTAACAACAACAACAACAACTAAAGACAATACAGTATTATCTAGTATTTGTTGCAAAAGGAGTCTCAAGCTAAAGACCACTGTGAATTATAAACAAACCACTTGGTATGTGCTATTTGTATGAAATACATTTGAATAGTACTCTGTACTTAATACAAAGCTATTTTCTAGTTCTAGGGAGTCCTCTGCTATTCATATGGTTTTCATGACTAAATACTCAGAAGTAGTTCATTACTCCTTCTTCCTAGTCTGTTTTCGTCTGGAAGCTCATCTGAAACCTGTCCACCATGGGTGACCCTGCTGGTATTTAAAATACCAGTGGCATAGCTTTCAGAATCACAGCAAACTCACAAGCCGTCACAGTAGGACAAACTGACAGACGAGTGGTGGAGTGTTTCCTTCTGCTGTGCATAGGGTCGCTATGAGTTGGTACTGACTCGAGGGCACCTAACAACAACAACAAGGGAGTCCTAGTGTGGTGCTACAGGAAAATGTGCTGGATCGCAAGGTCAGTTTGAACCACAAGGTCGGTGATTCAAACCCACCATTCACTCCTTGGAAACCCTATGCAGGGTCGCTATGGGTCAGAACTGGCTCCACAGCACTTAACAACTAATGACAAATTCTATCCATATCTTCCATGGATTCCAGGTTTGATTTCATTTTGTTGCAGTTTTCCTGTTGTTGTTAAGTGCTGTTGAGTCAGTTCCAACTTATAGTAATCCTGTATAGGGTTTCCAAGGAGGGGCTGGTGAGTTTGCACCACTAGCTTTGTGATTCAAACTGACCCTGCAGTCTAGTACTTATCCTACAGCGCTACACTAGGACTCCCTAGAACTAGGAAATAGCTTTGTATTAAGTACAGAGTACTATTCAAATGTATTTCACACAAATAGCACATACCAAGTGGTTTGCCTATAATTCAAAGTGGTCTTGAGACTCCTTTTGAAACAAATACTTTATATTAGAAGAATTTCCAAAAAGTGTGAACATAAGAAATAGTAAACACCTTTCTATTTTATATACGGACAGCAATATTTGAAATGTTGTTGTTGTTGTTGTTAGGTGCTGGCTAGTTGGTTCCTTCTCATAGCTACACGATGCACAACAGAATGAAACCTGCCTGGTCCTGCGCTATCCTCACAATTGTTACACTATGCCCACTGTTGTTGCCACAGTGCCAATCCATCTCATTGGGGGTCTGCCTCTTTTTCGCTTACCCTCCACTTTTACAAGCATAACATCCTTCTCCAGGGACTAGTTCCTCCTGTTGTTGTTAAGTGCCGTCAAATTGATTCCGACACATAGCGACCTTGTATAGGGTTTCCAAGGAGTAGCTGGTGAGCTTGAATTGCCAACCTTGCAGTTCAAACGGCGGCAATCTGGCGCATTAACCCACAGAGCCACACCAGAATCCCTAGTATGTGCGAAATCTGAGAGATTTCCCATCCTGGCTGCATTTCTTCTAACACAGATCTGTTTGCTTTTCGGGCGGTCCATGGTGCTTTCAATATTCTTCTCTAACACTATAACTCAAATGCATCAAGCTATTTTTGGGTCTTCCTTATTCATTGTCTAACTTTTACTTGTATATGAGGCTATTGAAAATAACATGGTTTGGGTCAGAAGCACGTTAGTCCTCAAACTGGTATCTTTGCTCTTCAACACTTTAAAGAGGTCTTGTGCAGCAGATCTGAAATGTTTACTGGTGAATGTGCGCCATGGAGTCAGTTCTGACTCATAGACACCTTGGATAGGGTTTCTGAGGTTGTAAATCTTTACAGGAACAGAAAATCTCATCTTACTCTCAAGAAGTGTCTGGTAGATTACAGCCCAACTTGTAACCCACTATGCTACCAGGGTTCCCTTAGTGGCTCTGTGCTGGATGGCAAAGTCAGTACGAACAGCAAGATTGGCGGTTCAAGTTCAATGGCTGCTCCCTGCAAACTCTATACAAAGTCACTATGAGTTGGAACCGACTCGATGGCACTTAGCAACAACAATTTAAACAAATAGTTTTGCTGACAGTAAAATGAAATCTTACAGAACTACCAATATTCTATTGCCTTTATGGGATCAGCCTCAATTTAGTCCAGTATCTCTAGATCTCTATAATAAATTAGGAACTCCAAAGTTCTAAAAGAAATTCTGATACATGAAAAGTAAACATGTTTAAAGGGGACAGATTCATATTTTATAATATGAAACACAGCAAAGAGAATAGACAGAGACAGCTCTTTGTACACTGTATTCCTCTTAAGATGATCTGAATTCTGCTAGCCACAGTTAACGTCATACCTTTACCATTGTATCTAAAATGAGAATTTACTTTTTACACTGAAATGTTTCTTTGCAATTTCATTTATATGAGGTTTTGCAAATTACATCTGTTGTGCAAAGAAGAGCTTCAAAAACATGGAAAAATTCTATTATCTTTTAATTCCATTTTCCCATGAACGTTTTGAAGCCTTTTTGTATATACTATGTTATCAAACAATTTAAAAAACACATTTTATGAATATCCTTATAGGTAAATGGACTGTACTTACCTTCTCAATGTGTAAATTGCTAAGAAATCTACTGGAATATATTTCCGAAACAATTTAGTATCTTTATATTGTCTGATTTATTTCGTAATTTTGGTTTACTACCTTATTCCCAAAAACAGTATCACATAACAGCAAAAATTGGATATGCTATGTGAATATTTACTAGGTCCCCAAACTGATGAAGATTTATACTATAAACTGCTAGTGTGAGCATAAGTCAACTCAGTTTCAGTTCGGTGCTATAAGGAAAACAATTTTTTTTTTCAGTTTTGTTTTGCGTTACATATGTAAACAAAAACTTATCAAATTAAAAATCCTACTTTCACTAATTCATATTTTTAATGGGGGAATCTTTATAGTTGAATTCATCAGGTACTACATTATTTTTTTATATTTCTTCTTAAAAACAGTACTGTGAGAGGCCCACAAAAATTAAATATTTAGTCTAACCGGGCAGTATTTCCTTCTGTTGTGCACAGGGTCACTATGAGTTGGTACCAACTCGATGGCACCTTACAACTGTAGGAGTCCTGGTATGGCACTATGGGTTAATGAGCTAGACTGTAAGGTTGATTTGAACCATAAGGTTGGTAGTTCAAGCTTACCAGTAGCTCCTTGGGATCCCTATACAGGGTTGCTATGAGTCAGAGCCGACTCAATGGCATTTAATAACAGAGGATAAGCACTCGGCTGCAATGTTTGAAGGGCAAGGATGGTGTTTCAAATCCACTGGCTGCTACTTGGCAACCAGTTATTCCTTAGGGTTGCTATGAATCGGAACTGACTTATGGCACTCACAACAACCACCCAAATCCAAGGCCAAATAAATCATAAATCTGAGATCCAATATGGAATTAAGTTCAACACGCTCCTCCTTTACTATAAGCTTTCGCAGAGCAAAGCTATTAATATGGTGGTGGTGTGCTGTGGAGTCAGTTCCAACTCATAGTGACGCTGTATAGGGTTTCTGAGGCTGTAAATCTTGATAGGAGCACAAAGCCTCATCTTTCTTTCACAGAACAGCTGGTAGCTTCAAACATCTGACCCTTAAGTTAGCAGCCTGACTCTTAACCACAGGAAAATGTTGAAGGGTTTTACTTTGTTGAAGGATTTCAAGGGAGAGAATTCTGGAAATATAGCCATGCAATGTGAATGACTTATGGGTTCTTTTACTTTTGTCTAAAATAATGGAAAGTAGTTGAGTCATCAGTGTAGAGCTTCAGGTTAAAGTAAAACAGGCATCAAAATATAACTGTTGTGAAATCTAAAAAAGTAAAGGACCAAATACAGAAAACAAGGCAATGTAACACTAACTATTTGATGTTTATTTTTATACTTCTGTATCTATTGTTTTTAATGTGTGCCAGCTGCTGTTTTAACTTACACTCTGACAAGAAAACCCTACAGGGCAATTCTTCTTTGTCATATATAACTGCTGTATGTGGAAATGGAGCCCTGATGTGGAGCTGTAGGATAAGCACTGGGCTGTTAGCTGCAAGGTTAAGTGATTCAAACGCAGCAGCCACTTCTTGGAACCCCTACCCAGGGTTGCTAAGAGTTGGGCAACCCTTAGCACTCCACCGCAATTAACAACATGAGTCTGGAAAAGACCCAACACAACAGAGAAACAGTTTCTCCGCTTAATGGATGAGATAAAATAATGTGCCAAGGTCACTAAGGTAGAAGAAGTGAGTAGGGCCAGGATTGGAAACTATTAAGTCTGGCTTTATAATCTCTCTGGTCTTCTGAACGTAGGCACTTCTGTTGCTTCCCAGAAATATTTCCAGGCACTAGTAATTCATACAAGGAGCTCTGGTAGCGTAGTGGTTACGAATCGGGCTGCGAACCGTAAGGTCAGCTGTTCGAAACTACCAGCTGCTCCGCGGGAGAAAGATGAGGCTTTCTACTCCCGTAAAGATTTACACCCTCGGAAACCCTGTACAGGGTCGCTATGGGTCGGAACCGACTTGATGGCACTTAACAACAACAAAGTAATTCATACAGGCACTTGACTTTCTTGTTAAATGTTCAAGGTCAATTACCTAAGTTTTCGGAACACTCAAGTTTCTTTCGGAGAAAAATGTAATTATAGACTACCCACCTAAAAGCGCTGTGAAATTAAGTCCTGGTGACCTGTTTGCAAAAAAATCCTTCTTGAAAAACCTGTACCTGCACATATGGGGTCGCCGTATAAGTGCGAATCGACTCCACAGCACCCAACAACAAAATGCAGCCCAGTTCACAGCGGTTGTAATTCAACTGCGCTCCTTTCTGCCTTGCACTTTGTAGGTTTACTGTGACTTACATGCAGCTGAATTGGTACCACCCTATAGTGACACAGTACACGATTTCCCAGGCTGTAAATCTTTTGCAGAAAGTGTCATCTTTCTCCTGTGGTGCGGCAAGTGGTATCGAACCGCCGACCTTGAGGTTCGCAGTCAGTCCAGTGCTTATTGTGTGGAGCCACCGCGCTCCCTAATGTCACTTGGAGTGTGTATGTTAAGTACCACTGAGTCGGTCATAGCAGCTGTGTATCAGCTGCTGGGTTTGAACTGCCTACCTTGCTGTTAGCAGTCTAATGCTTATCCTATAGCTTTGTGGCGGCTTAAGGATCAATGAAACGACAGCAAGTGGGGTGGGGAAACGCTCGGGAAGGCCTTCTGGGGTAGCCTGAACTCCGTGTCCTGCGAGCTGAGCGGACAGAAGCCCAAGCCCCCGCTCGAAACGCCGAAAGACCGCGGCCCACAGCAGGACGGACGTTTCTGCTCCAGGGACAACTTACGGGTAAAAACTCAGCTTCCGGTCTTTATTGTTCCGTCCCCGCCGGTTCTTACAGCAAATCGCTGCGCAATAGCGAGGCATTACTCGGGTAACGTCCCGGGAGACCCAGGCCTGGCGAGGGGCTCAGTCCGACCCTCCTTGCTGAGGCAGGGCCGCAAGATCTAGGCCTCCTTGAGGCGTCACTGCGCCTGCGCTGAGACCAGCCACGGGGAACGCCTCCGCAACCACAGCGACTCTCTTCCGCAGCTGAGGGCCGCAGCACCGCCCATTCGGGGGTTGGGACCGGAAACGACGTAGGGGCTGAGCGGCAACAACAGTTTTCCACGTGCGCGTAGCGCCTCAGGGTCAGGTGGGAAGGAGGAGCCAATGGGGAAGCGTTTCGTGTAGAATTTCTTTTTAGCTGTCTGCATCAGCCGCGAACGCCCGCCAGTGGGGAGCGGGCTGGGAGGACGCGGCGGCGACTGGAGGAACGCCAGGTCGCTGTCTAAGCGGCAGTGGGACGCGCGCCGGCTGCCTGAGGCCGCAGAGGCCGGGGAGAGGCCAGGACCGAACAGCCGCGCGGAACCCACCGGCAGCCTCGCCAGCGCCCCGGCTCTGGAGCAGCTTCAGGCGAAGGGTGCGGGAGAGGGACGTGGCCGGGTGGCGGGAGGCGTTTGGGAGCGTCCCCCGGGCCCGGGCCGCCTTGGCTTTGGCGTCCGATTTATTCGCTGTAGGGTTTCGGGCTTCCCGGTGTTCTGGTCTAAGCGAGTAAGAGTACGGAGACGGCCGCACCCCGGAATAGTGCGTTTGGGGTGGGGGTGGGGTTGCCGCTCCCCGGGATGGAGCCGGGCTGCGCTTGAGCTCGGCCCAGCCTGTCGGTCGGGAGGGCCCTTGTTGGGGATGGGATGTCGGAAGAGGGTGCCCCTAGTTGAGAAGTGTCGGATTTGGTGAGCAGGGCCCGCGCTCTGCGGTGTCGTGGGGCCCCGAGACTCCGGGGAGCAGGCTGCACCTGCTCATTAGGCGCCGGCCAGGTTCCCCCAGCGCGGCGTCCTGTCGTCAGCCTCCGCGGTGTGTCATCAGCTCTTCTCGGGGCCCGCGGCCCGCTGGGCAAACTCACCCAACCCTGTCGCTGACGGTGCGGGCCGGCCTGGAGCCCTGAGCTCCTGTGCGTCCGTGAAGTTAGCTGCCCCAACCCCTGAGTTCAACCCAAGAACTTAACTCATCCCAACGAGAAACTCCCCGAAAACTCATTTTTCTGGCAGCCTTAGCCGAAATCTTGAATTCTCTTAACGATGGGAATTTTGGACAGAATTTACCGACCTTGCTGTTTTGTTAAGTGTCGTAGATTAAGAAAAAAGAATTCTTGCGCTCGCTCTATTTATTGCATAGGAGGCGATAAAACTAATAGGTAAATGGACTAACGTCAACAGATAGATGCACTATTTAAAGAAAAGTGTTAGGAGTAGTAGCTCCATGGATTAATTTTTATCCCCTTCTCTTTTAGGATATTAGAAATGGCTACTCCCCAGTCAGTTTTCATCTTTGCAATCTGCATCTTAATGATAACAGAATTAATTCTGGCCTCAAAAAGTTACTATGATGTCTTAGGTGTGCCAAAATCAGCATCGGAACGCCAAATAAAGAAGGCCTTTCACAAGTTGGCCATGAAGTACCACCCTGACAAAAACAAGAGCCCTGATGCTGAAGGGAAATTCAGAGAGATTGCAGAAGGTAAATAAAGGAATAATTATCTTTGAGGTCTCACAGGTATTGCCCAGGACAGGAGAATGATAGTTAAGAAGTGTATATGTATTTGAAGATTTTGTGGAGATTGGAGGAAGGTTGGGATCTACATTTAAATATAGTGAAAGTCTCTGAGACTGATTTCTTATAATACCTTGATTCTTGAATACATGAATGATAGTAGATACATTTAGTTGATATACTGATCTAAAACTGTATTACTTTGCTCTTTCATCATGTATAACTGCTCTTTCATCATGTATAAATTGCTTATTCTAGGTAAAATTTGGAGAACACGATTTATTTATGAACTAACTTAGAAAATGATGTTACTAAGTAGGAAGATTAAATAAAAATAGACTGAAATACCTTGGATTTTATATGTTCGAAGCCGCATTGTCTTTAAAGAAAGTGTATGGAATTTTGTCTTTTGTGAAACATCAGGCACCTCCTGAGTATTTAGGCAGTTAATGGTTGATGGAGGTAACTGAATAGGAAATTTGAATTAAACATTTACTTCAACTAGTAAGAGTGAAAACTCCTTGTATTCCTGTCAGTTGGTTATGTTTGATGATTTAATTTTTAGTATAGGTGATGGCTTTATACAAATAAAAGAATAAAGAATTTTGAAATTGTTGTGAACATGTTTATTTGTAGTAATGGTAATATTCATTTAACAAATATTTTTTAAAACTTTTACTCTTTCAGCATATGAAACTCTGTCAGATGCCAATAGGCGGAAGGAGTATGATACACTTGGACACAGTGTTTTTACTAATGATAAAGGACAGAGAGGTAATGGAAGCCCTTTTGAGCAGTCATTTAACTTCAATTTTGATGACTTATTTAAAGACTTTGGCTTTTTTGGTCAAAGCCAAAACACTCGGTCCAAGAAGCATTTTGAAAATCACTTCCATACACGCCAGGATGGTTCCAGTAGACAAAGGCATCATTTCCAGCAGTTTTCTTTTGGAGGTGGACTTTTTGATGACATGTTTGAAGATATGGAGAAGATGTTTTCTTTTAGTGGCTTTGACACTACCAATCAGCATACAGTACAGACTGAAAATCGATTCCATGGATCTAGCAAGCACTGCAGGACTGTCACTCAACGAAGAGGAAATATGGTTACTACCTACACTGACTGTTCAGGACAGTAGCATATTCTTTTCCTGATCTCATTAAACCAACTAGTTGACTTTTCCTCAGTATCTTTGATGCAAAACAATTTTCTGTGAACTATTTGCATGAGTTCACTTACTTTGAGCAATTAATACAGCTATTGAATATATTTAGATTGTTTCTGACATTCAACAACATTCAGCTAGAGAAAGAACTAATTGTTAATTTCCCTGGTTAGTAAAAGTTCTTTTAAAAGAAAAAGATAATTATAAATTTTCCTGGTCTGTTTTTATCTGCCCTCGGGCTCACTAATGCGGCCAGTTTTTTTACTAAGGAAAGATTGTGATTGCCTGATACATATTTAAAATTTAAACTTTGAGAGTTACTGTAAATTTCAGTTGTGTGAGCTTGAATGATTACTGCGGTAAAATCTTTACTAATTTAAATTGCATGCTCTGGAGCATCTCTGACTTGAGTTGCTAAATGTACTTGACATTGTATTATTGAGTCATTCAGCAAAGGAAACCAGTGTCTTAGTTAATTGCCACTGAATGATTTGGAAATCTGTTAACTTTCCAAAGAGATCATAAAAGAAATTTTCTTGCTTTTTTGTTTTCTAATTAAATTTATCTAAATTTAGAAAGGCTAAGATATGGTTTGACATTTACCACAGAATCATGTCTTTCTACAGTGGAAGTGGAGTAAAATGACGAATTGTATTGCTTGTAGTCACTTAGGTTGAAAGGGAGTTGAAAATGTATGAGAATACTGCCAAGAGATTGTTACATGTTTTGACTGCTAGCTAATGATTTTGTACTGTTGAAATCATAGCTAGTTCACACATCTTTCATGTTTCTTTCTTAGTGTGGACACTAGATTTTAATATGGATTTATGTGTTTTGTTTTGTGGTTCCTCTTCTTGCACTCACCTTTATCTAGAGATTGACTAATACCTCATTCTGTTTGTAAAAACAGCCAGTAATTTCTGTGCAACCTTATTATGTGCAATATTTTTAAATCCTAAAAAATGTGTGCTTTTGTTTTCAGATAGAATTGTTTCTTTAGTTCTGCACTTTTCCATGTTATACTCCATATGAGTATTAATCCTATGGATACATATTAAAACTAGTAAATGTCTCATGCAACGTCGTGTGTGAGTGAAAGAAATATAGTATTTACAACCTTATGTTCTTGGTTGTCATTTTATTGATATGTTAAAAGTTTATGGTTTTATGTTAAAAGTTTTTTACACAGTTCTGGAGGTATGGAGAGTATGTAAGTAATTGGGCTGTATATATTTATCATAGGCAGTGTTCCAGAATTACTTTTGACTAACCTGAAAATCCTGGTATGAGCTTGTGCCATTTGGAAGTTTGTTCTGCTTTATTATCATCTTTCTTCACACATTTTCTTAGTTTGTAGATAGTGTTAAACATGATTTTGGTGTATTTGCTTGCTAGAAATAAGTTTTCTGCCACCAGTTCTTTCCTATTTAGGCCTCGTTGTGAAAAAGCAAGAGATTTTCCATACAAGAAAACCTTATAGAGCAATTCTGCCAGTTGACATGAATTAGAATCAACTCAATGGCAACTAACAACAACATATTTGTAAATTGTCTTTCATTTGAAAATGGTTTAGAAACAAGAGTTATTCTATTTAGTTGGTTGTTGTTAGGTACCGTCCAGTCAGTACCAACTCATAGTAGCAACCTTATGCACAACAGAGCGAAACACTGCTTGGTGTTGTGCCAACCTCACAGTTGTTGCTACGCTTCAGTCCCTTGCTATTGCCACTGTGTCAATCCATCTCATTGGGAGTCTTCCTCTTTTTCGCTGACCATCCACTTTGCTGCCAAGTATGATGTCCTTCTCCAGAGACTTGTCTCTCCTGATAATGTCTGACGTATGAGAGAAGTCTGCCCTTCCTGGCTTTCAAGGAGTATCAGGCTTTATGTCTTCCAGCACAGGTTTGTTTGGTTTTTTGGCAGTCCATGACCCATCATCTCTCATACTTCAGACATATTATCAGGAGAAGGAAATCATGCTAAATAAAATGGAGGGTGGACAGCTGGTAGTTTCGAACTGCTGACCTTAAGGTTTGCAGCCCGATTTGTAACCACTACACTACCAGAGCTTCATATATATATGTGTGTGTATGTACATATATATACACACACACACACAAAATGGGTTAATGTAAATAAGGAAGACTGTAGAAGAATTGATGCTTTTGAGTTA